TTTTTTTTTTTTTTTCATAGGCAGAAGATTTTCGAAAACTCTGGAAAACTCCACCTCGAGAGAAAGCAGGCTTCTTCCACAGTGTCAGGAAGTCTGACTCGGAAAGAGGCATTGAGAGAGTGGGAAGGTATGGGGAGGCTGAGTTGTGTGCATTGTCATTTTCAGTGTGGTTATGTATTGAGACTGATGATGACAAATGTAATTACAGCTGCTTCAAAATATGGCCAGAAGGGGTTTTCTGGGAGATTGTAGAGCCTTTCCACTAAGGTCAAATTACTTATAGGGCTGGGGATTTAGCTCAGTGGTTCTGCCACCTGCTTCACAAGTGCAAGGACCCAAGTTTGATACCCAGTACCAAAAAAAAAAAATTTAATTATAAATGTTGTATACATTCCAATTTACTTTGTGCAATTTTAAGGGAAAGCAGCTCCTACTCCTTAGAGCAGTGCTCAGGGAGCTTAATATTTTATAGAAGATACTATATGGACAGTGTTTCCTTGGGAAAAAAACACACCCCTCTGTTTAACAAAGGAAGCAGGGGTGTGGCTAGAAACAAGTAGAAAATGTTTGCAAAGAAATCCCAAACTGCAAAGTTAAAAGTATGGTATAATCAAGCAAAACTTCATCAGATTGTTTAGAACCTTTTCTGAAAATAAGTGCCCAGTTTGAGGATTATAGCTTAAACCTGCAATTTCTGGTTCCTGGCCACACACGCAAGTGTGAGGGCTTATGAGCACTGGCTCCTCACTTGGTGAGTGTGATTCACTCCATCCTTGAACAGCTCCAGGAATTCTGTTAGGTCTCACCAGAGAGGCGAGGAAGGTCAATTAGCCCCAGGTTAAGATCAAGTATTGGATACCTAAGATTATGGACATTGCTGTGGCAGTTGGAGTGGTGAGTGACTGTCTTTATAGTTAGTTCTGTGGATGTTGTTCTGTCTTCTTATCTGTTACTTGTGTTTATTCCTTATAGGGAGCTCGCTCATGAGTTGAAGATTCCCTGGGCTGAATACTGGGAATTTCTGGGCTGTTTTGTGGATCTGTCTTCCCAAGAGGGGCTGCAAAAGCTAGAAAAGTATCTTGCTCAACAGGAAAGAGGAAAAAATGAAGCCTGCCCCCAAGAAAAACCCTTTGCCTCTGGTGAGCAGATGTTCAAGGTAGCCCTGGCCCCTCACAAAGCATCCATCTGTGACCTTTGTCTCTTCTCTGCTTCATGTGTTTTTATTGTAAAACTGGGCAACTTTTCCTCAGGCTGATGTCAGGACTCTGTGTGTGTGTGTGTGTGTGTGTGTGTGTGTGTGTGTGTGTGTGTTCACATGTATGTGAGTGTGTACAGGTGTCTGTGAAAGGTATAGCATTGTGAAGAGCAGTGTTGCTACTTCTGGCTTCATCTCCTTTCCCAAAGTTAGGTAATGTTCATTCTGTGCTGTTTTTCTAAAGCATGTTAAGACCTGTAATATCTGAGATCTTGTATTTCTGTGCATGTTTTCTACATATTCTTTGTGGTTGAATACATTGTGTGCTGTCAGGAAAGGGACAAGGGGGACAGTTCCAGCACACTGGGATGTTCAGTACACATCAGTCTGCCAAGACCCTAAGAAGCACAAAAAGATGATGAAGTGATTGGGAGAAGTTAATCTATGTAAAACTTAGGAGTAACTCATGACACTAACAAGGAAAGCTAGTTCTGGGGGGCAGCTCAGTGGTAGAGTGTGCTTAGCATGCATGAGCTCCTGGTGTATGTGCAGCAGCACAAGGTGTGGGAGGATGTAAATAATTTTTAAGTATTAGTAAGAAAAAGATATCAGTGCCCAAAAGTGAATTGGGCAAAGGAGAAGAAATTTCCCAAAGAAAATAAAAGCAGGCACCTCACTCATCATCACAAACATGGTGCTGCTGCCTGCCTGGACCTGTGTGGTCTCCAGGTGGATGGTAGTCAGCCTGGCCCAGAGGAGAGCACTAGGGGTGCCTAGGAGTACCTCGGTAATATATCTCCCTTCTGCAATAGCAGTGGACTGGTTTGATAAACTGAACTATTCTTACACAAAATTAAAAGTCCTGCTTTCAGAGAGAAATAATGTGAATAAAGGTTTACAAGTAATGGGAAAAAAAACCAAGAAAACTACATAATTTATCGTAAGAATATTTACAGAAAGTAAATATATTTGCACAGTAATTACTTGCCTGAGTATATTAATTTAAGCCAAGCATGGTGGCAACAACTGAAATCCCAGTATATGGGAAGCTGAGACACAAGGATTGTTGAAAGTTTGAGGCCAGTTTAGGCTACATAGTGAATTCAAGGCCAGCTTGAGCTACACAGTAAGACCCTGTCTCAACAAAAAACCAGACTCATTTCCTGAGTACCACTTGCCACTGTTCAAGCAAATAGCTGCTGTCTTGACAAGAAAACCTTTCCCTTGAGTAGGGGCAGTGCTGCTCCCCAGTGACTTCCTCATGGAATTGTGAGAGGCCAGCAGATCCGAGAACTGGTAGCCCAGGCTGCCCCCAGCCCTCCTTCTCTTTCCTGCCTTGAGGGAAGAACAGCCCGGAAGCTTTGTTTCTGTTCATGAGGCCATGCACCCTCTCCTAGGAGGATTTGGCCTTTCTGGCTTGCATGGCGGGGTTCACAGTGTGTCTGCTTTGTCACTTACAGGCCATGAGCAGCAGTGCAGCAACTCTGTTTCCGTGGGGGCGTTTCTAGATGGAGATGGTGATATGAGTCTGGAAGAAATGAAAAATCGGCAGAACACAGCTCAGAACCACAGTCAGCCGGCAGCTAATGCTTTCAGGAACCTGGAGCCCAGTGCTAAAACTGACTTCACAGCAGCCTCAGGCCTGTGCTGCTCCATTCCCAATGGGCTGTGCTGTCCCTCGAGTCCCAGCAAGACCCTGTGTGGGAGACCAGAGGCCCCTGGAATAGAGCAGGACCTTCTGTCACATGTCTCTGATTTGATGCTTGAGTTCGATAAACTGAATTTGCAAAATGAAGTTGGTAACCTTTCCAAGACACCAAATACAGATAAGAAAACTAAAGATAAGAAAAAGAACAAAATACAAAGTGACTTATTGGCACCTGCTCCTGCTGCAGACAAACTTGGAAATAACCAAACGGGAGCAGAGAGTAACATGTCAGCTGTGCTGGCTACGATGTCCTTGGATTCCAGGTCCCAGGCTATGCCAGGTCCTGTGACCAACCCCCCCAGCAGGCTCTTCCTTTGTGGGTAAGCATGGGACCCTGTGTGTAGTTCTTTGAAGCCTCCTGTTTTCCAACAGCATGTGTGCAGCTTGAGTAGGGATGATCTCCAGTCCAGTAGGGCTGTTCATGGTTGTCGGCTGTCACACACCAGGGAAGGAGAGGCCTCCAGGCTACTTGGTAGGTCCTAAGAATATGGTTTAAGAGGGAACCACGTGCAGCAGGGTAGACAAAGCTACAGTGGGGACCTGGCCATGTCTGGAGGACCTGCCCTCCTTGTGCTCTCACAACAGCCTTCCAGCTCATCCCTGAGCCTCAGGATGGGTTGGTGGTTTCTCCACTCAGGCCAGATTGATTTCTCAAACACCATTCTCTTTGCTGAGTGCTTAAGTTAAAGATGCAGTGAAGTAAGCTGGCCATGGTGATACACACCTGGAATCCTAGCACTTGGAAGGCTAAGACAGGAAGCTCACACATTTGAGTGAGCCTGGACCCATCTCAAAATATGTAAAAATAGGAATGCAATGATATTTTGAAAGTGCTGTTTTTTTGTTTTTTAATGAAAGTTGTTTCTGTCTTTTCTTGTGTTTTTGCTGTGTATTCTAGGGAGGAACCTTGCAAGCTGGACCAGGATGTCCTAGCAGCTCTGCAGGGTGCAGATGTCGACCCTCGCCAGTATCCAGCAGTGCACCAGTGGAAGAGTGCTGTCCTGTGCTACTCGCCTGCAGACAGGCAGAGGTGTGGGGCAGGGGGAGTCAATCTGAGTGGGGTCAGAAGGCTGGGTCACCCATGGGTGCCCTGTCACACAGCTGTCCCTTAGCTAGGCTGGTGCATGCTATATCCCCAACAGCACCTGGGTTCCCATGCACAGGACAGGTTTCCAGCGAGGCAGGCCCAAGGCACGTTTGGTGCTGTGAGCAAGTGTAGGGGTAGCAGCCAGGTGTGAGGCTAACATAGTATGGGTTTTGTGTGGCAAATCCTCAGGATCAAGGTTTAGAAGTATCTCTATGCTGTGGCAGCCCCCTCCCAGCCTGGGTCTGTCCTGAGTTCCTGCCCATCCTCATCCTCACATGGCCCATCTGTGCTGAGAGATCTTTTTCTGTCTCCCCAGTTGGCCAAGCCCGGCTCTGAAAGGAAAGCTCAAATGTCAGCTACCAGACCTCGGCTATCCTCACAGTGGCAGCCTGGGGCGAAGCGGTCCAGATGGCAGCAGCCCTGGTAGGCCTGGCCATGCCCCTCACTCCCCTGGCATGGACAGCCCCAGGCGCTACAGCCCTGCACATGGGCGCCTTCTGCATCGGACAGCTGCACCCAGCACCCAGCTAGCAGCCCTGTAGGCTGCATTCGTTCCCTTCTTCACTTTCAAAGGAAGAGGGTAATGTGCTTATCGGGAAGATTTCACAAAGGAGCATATTTTAAGTAACTTACATTCTGCACTTCGAAGGTACAGGGATTATAGAAATGCAAATGTTCTACATAGAAGTAAAAATCAGTGATGTCATAGAAGAAGCTGTTAACAGCCACTGAAATACAGATCTTGTGTACTGTCCCTGTGGCAGTGAGGACTTTAGGTGCAGTCACTGGGACACCTGCAGTGTCCCACTGACTCCACTCAGGATCCGTGTGAGGATGGGCTGCATTTGGCCCCTTCTCCTAGAGCAGCTTCTTGGTGGATGATGACAGGTTCCCACTTGTCGGCAGATAAACTTGAGCATTGCAGGCTGGTAGCAGGGTTGGAAACTTCACTGGCCAGAAACTGGGGTGTGGTGGCACATGCCTGTAATCCCAGCACTTGGGAGGCTGAGGCAGGAGGATCACTGATCACTTTGATTTCAAGGCTAGCCTGCATTACAAAGTGTGAGCCCCTATCTCAAAAAATAAAAAAAAAAAAGAAAGAAAATATTCCTCTTAGGCTTGAGAGTCAAGTAGCTACAGGGAACCCGCCAGCAGTCACTGACAGGTGTTTTCATTTCCAACTGAATATAAAAGCATTGAGCCTGGCATGATGGTGCATGCATGTAATGCCAGAACTTGAGGCTGAGGCAGGAGGATCACAATGGGTTCAAGGCCAGCCTGGACTGCATAGTGAGACACTGTCTCAAAAAAACAAAAAAAAAAAGGCTGGGGATTTGGCTCAGTGGTTCCACCACCTGCCTTGCAACACAAGGGCCTGAGTTTGATCCCTAGTACAAAAAAAAAAAACATTGTGCCACTGCTCAGTCAGAGTTGAGTCATTTCTTTCCCTTTAGCCTTCTCTCCGGCACTGACCCTAGGGGCTCTGGCTGCAGAGTATTGGGAGTGGGGCATTACCATGTGCCTGCTGCCTTGTCTCTTGGGGGAGATGCCTGTGAACACCTGGGGTCTGTACCGGAACAAGTTCTACACCCCGCCTCCACCAGCTTCAGTGCCTTCTGTAAAGCAGTTCCAAGTTTTCCAGAATTTACTATTTGAAAATATACAATGATACTGTTAGGTATAAGATTTTTTTTTCATAAAAATTCAGAATTGAAACGTGCTTTTTTAAAAAGCTTATGATAAACTGGTCAAGCATATTGGAACTGAGATTTCATTTTTAAAACTCAAATTTCTGGGCCAGGGATTTAGCTCAGTGTCACTGCACCTGCTTTGAAAGCACAGCTTCCTGAGTTTGAGTCCTGGTACCAAAAAAAAAAAAACCCTCAAGTTTGTTACATGAGTTTTCATTTGCTGTGTAACAGACAAGATCTGAATATAAGACAAATAGTTCAGTCATTCTAAGAACAGCTGCATTTTGATGATCTCTTTAAAGTCTTACTATATCATCTTGTATGTTATAAATATTCAAATAGAAATTAAAATATTGTTTTTGCCTTGGTTTTGTAGATGCTTGTTCTGTAAAGTTTTAGGCCCCTTAGGGCTATTTCTCTGCTTCTGTGACAGGGCCATATGTGTTCCCCTAAACATTGTGTAACTTGGGTGATGTGTCCTTTTAAAACCACTTCATGATTTTTGTACCATATTTTCACAAAGCATTCTATCATTCCAATTTTAGTGTATGAGCACTTGCAAAGCACTCTTGCTGTATCTGGGTACAAGGCCCTTTTTAGTAAACCCTTAGCAGTGTATTGATGAGCTAGTGTTGTTAGCCTGACGGTGGTTTAGTTGCTGTTTGTCAAGACAGTGTCACACCTGGGCTTCAGCGGTTCCCACCTAGCCCTGAGTGCTAGGGTTGTGGGTGCTACACTACACGTGGCCTATTGGCTGCTGTGTTTGCCCCTTTGTTTCCTTGCACAGTTGTGGAAAACTTTTTGTGTCAAATAAACTAGTGTACATTTTGCGGCTGCACTTAGCAGTGGGAGGCCTTTCTGTGAGGATAATGGTGTGTGAACATGTTTCAAAGAGGTCGTGTCTGTCAAACACCCAAAATCCCCACTGTTTGTTTGAGGAAAAAGCCAGCCAGGGTGCTAATTGATATACCTGCCACCCTAGCTAAGAACACACCCAGAACCCTTCATATCTGTGGCAGAGGTGGGGGTGATGGAGGTCAGGGCAGTGTTGGCCTCTTCTGTTGAGGTGACACTTGGCCTGTTCAAGCCACATCTGTTCTCTGGCTTACTGGTCACACCATGTTCCCTTCCTCGCTGTCACAGGGACATATTTTGGAACAAACAGCAACAAGTGGTCACAGGGAGCCAGCTGCCACTTAAGTGTGAATGTCGCCCCCCAACCTGTTTCATCCAGGTCCCCTCACATTAGGCAGTTTTCCTGAGGTTACCAGTGCTCCTGAGTCTGTATTAGCTGTTCAACACCAGAAGCACAGCTTCCTTCCAGCTTTGCAGATGGAGTTTCTGTCATTTGGCCCCTCTGCCTGGAGCTGTCCAAACTGTCTGGTGAGGGGTTGCTGGGCACTGGGCTGCCCTAGTCATCCCTGTCACCAAGTCAGGAGTGTCCACCACATTGCCTCAAGACACAGAGGGGAGAGGCTGTTGGAGGAAGATCTACAGAGAGCAGGATTTCATAAATGGCAGAGAATTTGCTGCAAAGGATTCAGTTTCGTACTCAAAAAATACAAGTTAACAGTTGCCTTTGCCCTGAGAACAGAATGAGCCAAACTTCCAAAATCTGAAAGCCCAACTGTATACCCTCAACTTTGATAGCACAGTCTTTTTTCACCTTCCTGTTTTTGCTTACAGAAGCAGTGGTTTCTTGTGATCCATTAACAACTCTGACATCCGTGGCCAGTGCACCCAGACCACTCTTGACCACTGTTGGGGTTTTAATATCACCTCTGTTCACTGCAACAGGGACAGATGGGAGGAACCTGGTAATGAGACACAATTGACCCCACCCACAGGTTACTCACTGGCGTCCGGCAGGGCACCACACCTCCCAACAGAGAAGACCCTGTTCCTTCCAATACCAGGGCCCCTCAGCCAAGGCTTTTGCTAAATTATCACCTGCTTCCTTTTAAAGTCTGTGTCCATGATGTGCAGGGAGCCCTGGGGCACTGACCAGAGAGTTGCCAGCTCTCATCCACAGTGCCACATGGGAGGCCAGTCAGCCCCCTCACACTTGTCCGCTTCTAGCAGTGGCTTATGGTACTGTCTCCAGGTGACCCTGGGAGATATAAAGTACTGTGACCCACTGCTGTCTCAGCACAGGTTTCCTGTTTTCTATGAAATGAGAAGTCACAATACTTTACAAACACCAATAAAATTTTATTATGTAGTTATTTCCAAAGATGACAGAGAAAAGAATCAAATATCTCAGTTCATTGTATTGACTGCAGAAAATGTTCACAACCACTTCAAAGAAATTAGTTTTTCCTAAATTACATATTTTGGAAGATACATCATATCTGAGTATTTTATCCCAGTGCCCACAAGATTTAGTCACCAATGCAAAGCTGCAGCCACCACTCTGGGGTATTGTACAGCTCCAGGAAAACTTACCAGCTGTCACCTACTGACCACCTCCACTCAGCCTCCATTCTGGCCCTTTCTGAGTGCAGATGCAGCAGTGTTAGGTCTCTAACTCATGTCAGAAACGTTTTCAAGGCAAGAAACCAGAAGAGCAAACTCTAAGTGACAAATATTTAAATGACAAGTTTCCAGACAGGAGGAATATGAAGTGGGCAGGCTGTGAACAAAACCTTGGTCATCCTGGTTCAGTGCTATGGCCAGGACCCCAGTATGGCAGCCATGCACATGGAAGAAAATGCACAGACCGCAGGCGTCCTGTAGGGCAGCTTTTAGAGAAGCCAGGTTGTATGAATGACCACTTCCTTCAGCCTGGGCAGAGATGAGTTCTGGGCACATCCCCAGTGTGGATCTGAAAAATTTCTCCTCACCAGCATTGGCTTCTATTCCCGCTTGAAGCCAGAGCACAGCCAGGACAGGCAGATGGGGTAAGATACTGTCCCAGTAGCCTCAGGACCGGGTGATCATGTTAGGTGGCATGAAGCCTGTGTCCCCCAGGGTCCTAAGTGCGACCCGGCCACTAGGACGGATGACCAGGTGGGTGATACTGCCGTTGTTCAGGGACAAACGGAGCCAGCCTTCTGGAGGGAACTGCAGTGCTCTGGGGAGAGAGGAAGAACAGGTTGGAGCTCAAATGAAGCAGAGCCCTGAGGGAGGGGTCCCTTGGACCAGCTGAGAGACCCCTGCTGGGACATGGGTTCCAGCAACTTGAGCTATGTGCAAGTCAGAAACAGTGGTTTCTTCCAAGTACATAGGATTTAATTTCTGCTTTTCCAGGGCAAGAAAAGGGGGCAGCTAAAAGGTGTGTTCACTGTGTGTGTATGTTGGGGTAGGTAGTGGGGATAAAACCCAGGGTCCCATGCATGCTAGGCAACCACCACTAAACTGTACCCCAGATCATAAATATGTTATTTATTTATTTAGGCCGGGTCTAAGTTGTCCAGACTGGCCTGTGAACCTCCTGCCTCAGCTTTCAGAGTAATTGGGGTCATGGGCATGCATCACTGTCCCCGGCTCTGGCTTTGTTTCGGCACTTTATTTAACAAAGGGAAGGAAGCTCTAACTTCACGTGCCCGGTGTCTCCTGGTATCTCGTCTGTATTAGTGTCACCGCCTAGTGACTGTTATATGTCGTGCTAATGAGTCAACATCAGATTTCTCAGAGGAGCACATTAGGAGCTATGGCAGAGCTGAGCCCACACCACACTGGAAGCACCTGCCCCTATCGGTGGTATCAGCCAAGCAGCTGTGCATGAGGTGCAGCACACAGTGCAGGCACCTGTGCTACTGATGGCTCTGTGCCTGGTCTGGAGCTACCACAGGCTGGCCAGAATCACAGCTCCCCACAGCCTGCAACCCTGGGGCTGCTGCTCTTCTACAAAAGGTTCCTGTCCATCCATGGGCATCCATAGCAGCCACACAAGGCAGAGGGGATGGCCCCACTGGCCAGAGCTGCTCTGTATGTGGGAATGAGAGCCCTTGGCCACAGAAGCTAGACCAGCATTTTCTTTTTTCTTTTTCTGGTCCTGGGGATTGAACTTGGAATGTTGTGCTTTTGAGGCAGGTGGTGGCACCACTGAGCTACATCCCCAGCCCTAGACCAGCGTTTGCTAATGGCTCTAGGAGAGACATAGTTCTACATGAATTGGAACTCCTCACCCTTTACATCACCCAGAGGGGACACACGTGTATCCAATGACACCCACATGACCTACACAGTCACACGTCCCACCCAGACCCTAACAACGGTTGGTACCAGCTTTGAGGGGAAGCAGACTTGTGCACAGCTCCCAGTTGTTTACCACTCAAAAGAAAACAGGCATGGCCCACTGCTCCCCAACCACACACTGCAGCTTGTGCCCAGCAGACCCTCAGCACAGGCCCTCATCAGCCTGTACCATTCCCCATGCTTCAGAGGCCTCCGTCTGAAACATAGTCCATTCATAATCAACTAGGATCCTGCCTAAGACCAGGGGCTCCCAGGACAACTCAACCCCTAAAGGTGGCAGCGGGGGACCGGTGCATGGGACACTGGTTCTGCCTCTGGCCTCGCTCCTCCATGCCATCTAGGGTGCCCACCTGCACACGATGTAGCGGATGACATTTGCATGGCATATGAAGATCTCATAGCTGTCCTCCTCCTGCTCAGCATCAGCCCGGTGGATATAGTTCCGGAAAGCAGCCTCGATCCTTGCTCCATCTTCGTAATACTGCTAAGGGCAAAGCAAGGAAGCATCAGCCCATTAGCAACTGCACGCCAAGCCAGCAAGGTGGCAAACCCTCCCAGCCACGTGGCCCAGGGGCAGCTTTTACCACAGCCTCAGGCTTCCAGTGTGACACAGGCGGGTCAGGCTCAATGGGGGCGCCTTCCCGCAGCAAGTCAGTGCTGACTCTGGAGACATCTACAGGGAACAGGGGACTCACAGTGCTGCACCCGGAGCCGAGCTGCACTCAACCAGCATGGTTATCAGTCAGCAAGGAACAGGGCCTGAACAGCACTCACCTGGCAGGTGCTTACTGATGATGTCTGTGGTCTCCACGGCGCGTGTCATGGAGGAATGGATGATTTTGTTAAACTTCAACCCCAGGCTGGCAAGGCGGAGGCCAGTGAGTTCTGCCTGCTCCCGACCTTGAAGGGCAAACACCTGAGAAACTCAAGGACCTGGATGCCCTCACTCCCCACAGACACTGGCCCCACATGGCACCAAGCTCCTACAAGGGCCCCGCCTCACAGGCCTGGGTGAAAAGCAAGAGCAGTGGATGGCCCAGCTACTCAATTAACTGCATGAACAACCTGCCCATTGCCAGAGTTGAATTAGCTGTGTAATCTTTGTCATTCTATACTCAGCTATTTCTACATATCAAGCTGCAGTCCGTGTGGCTTCTGGTCCTGTGACCTCACAGATGCCACTGCACAGAGGTGGGACCTCAGTGCTCCTGAGCAGGCTGATATGTCCCCAGTGCCTCTTCTCAAATGTAGTTTGCACCTGGCTGAACATGCCCCAGGAAGGCCGCTTGTGCTGAATGCAGCCACCTTCATACTGGGCACTTTGTCTATCTGTGCACAGAAGCCAGAGCATGCTCTCAGGGGAGGGGCATATTCTGTGGAGAACAGGCCTAGAAGCCCCTTCCTACCACTGAAATCTTGAACACATGGAGAATGGGAACTATCCACTGTGTAAAATATAAACACAGCCGGTTGTGGTGGCAGCACTTGGAGTCCTAGCTACAAGGGAGGCTGAGGCAGGAAGGCTGCCTAAGCTCAGGGTTCAGGGCCAGCCTGGGCAACATAGCAAGACCCTTCTCTAAAAACATAATATTTAATACTCAGCTCACCCTTTTCCAGGAATTTATCCTGCAGCAACATGGCACAAGGCTGAGACAAACCAGCCTCTATGACAGAAGTCACAAGGACCCTCACCTCCACTGGCACACACACCAGAGCAGTGACACAATGTATAACATGGATGTTCATCACGCAGATTCATCAGTGCTGAACAGAAGAGTCTAGGGCTAGGTGCGTAGGCCAAGACACAGAAGGCACAAGCAGGTACAGGTACCCCATGCACAAAGCCCCATTAAACAAGACCTAAAAATGATCTCATACAGTAAACACTGACAATACTTTTCATGGGTTTTGTTTTTTTGCAGGACTGGGGCCAGAACTCAGGGCCTCATGCCTGCTAGAAGTGCTCTTAGTAGGCAAGCCACACCCTGGCCCTGGAATTTGTAAGGATATTCAAAAGCCTGGACTCATGATAATCACTACAGTGACAATAGTCCTGCCTAGGCTGATGGACCGTAGGCGGGAGGAAGCCCAGTGTCCACGCACCTGTGAGGCCCATTGAGGGGCTGAGGGCCGAAACCCTGGCACATACCCAGTGGAGTCAGCGTGCAGTCCTCTTCCAGGGCACCATCCATATGATACTGGGAATGCCGGATGAGGAAGATGTGCCGTGTTGCCTTGGCCTTGTAGTGGTCCAGCCTGGACGCCAGCTCTTCTTCTCCAGATTCCACATTCCTCTTCCGCAGGTTGATCAGAGATAGTGGTTCTCGCCTAATGTTGGAGATAAAATGATGAGGCCTTATGACCTCTGTTCCAAGACACCCTGAATACTAGGACTAGACAGTATTTCCAGCTGTGGTAACAGGAAGGAGCACAGTGGGAAAGCCAAGGCTCAGTACCTGCTGGGAAGGCCAGCTCCATAAAGCACAGCAAAATGATTAAATCACATAAGATGTGCTTAGGCTACCTGCAAATATTATAGCACCTTACATAAGATACTTGAACATTCACAGGTTTTGGTATCTGCAAGGATCCTGGAACTAATCCCCAAATACCAAGGGGCACTGTTACTGAAATTAAATAAAACCAGAACTCCCATTTTCTCAGTCATGTTTAGTTTTTTTTCTGGTACTGGAGATTGAACCCAGGGCCTCACATATGCTAGAGAGCTACACCCCCACTCCTTTTATTTTTTGAGACAGTCTCACCAAGTTGCCAAGCTGGCCTCAAACTCATGATCATTCTGCCTCAGCCTTCTAAGTAGCTAGGGTTCAGGCCTGTGCAGTGTCCACACACATGAAGCATCTTTTAAATACTCAGTAGCCTCTGGGGTAGTAGCTTTCACACTGACTGATGGGTGGGGGTGGGGAAGAGAACTGGAGCTACAGAGAGATAAACATGGGAGGCAGAAACAGCACAAGTCAAACCTGCCAGGATTTCCCTCATGGAGACGGTGGTGGATAAGGCATGGCTGGAGGGGCATCATGGTGACCCAAGGGCTGACTGGCAGGGCCATTCTGGCTGCTGGCCACACCCTAGGCTAAGCACATGTTGGCAGGTGCAGGGAGCCAGGGACTAAACTAGAGAAAACAGGCTGAGCCAAGATGCCCTGAACTCCACTCAGCACCTGGCCCAAGTACAGCCCTGGAACTTTCTAGCATAAATGAGTGGAATGTGAGGAAACAAGCCCCCTTCTAAAATCTTTCTACCCTGTATCCCACTCTACCCAACAAATTTAAATCACTCCCTGTCTCCCTATCCATAAGTCTAGACATGGTAAGTAAATATGGAACATCAATTTAAATCATATAAACCTGGGCCCGACTTTAAGTTCTACTTTAAGGAAGTTCTTTGATGTCAGAGTGGATGTTTTCCTTTAAAAGGATAGAGATGGTGGGTGTGGTCCTACACACCTGTCATCCAGCATTTGAAAGACTGAGGCAAGAGGATTGCTGCCAGTTTGAGGCCAGCCTGGGCTACACAGTGAATTCAAGACCAGACTGAACTACACAGTGAAATCCTGTCTCAAAAAAATAAAAATAAAAATAAATGTACTGAGAAATTCAGAATACTGTACTGATTTTTAAAGAAAAGAAAAGGAGGGCCAGGGATTTAGCTCAGTGGTTCTGCCTGCCTCACAACGGAAAGGACCCGAGTTCGATCCCAGTACCAAAAAAAGAAAAAAGAAAAGAAGAGAAGAGGATGTCTGTTCAACCATTACAGAAACATCAGACAGATCCCAATTTGGGGACCTCTCAAGGAAACACCGCCCCAGCATTCCTCAACCCCTCCTGATCATCAAAGACCAGCCCAGCTGACAGGCATCTCAAAAGACAGGAGTAACTGTCATGTGGGACCCTGGAACTAAGGACTAAGGGAGAATTGAGGACCTTTGACAAACACCCCACATTTGGTGCAAGAAGTTAAAAATAGAGGAAATTAGGGCCAGGGATTTAGTTCAGTGGTTCTGCCGCCTGCCTCACAAGCACAAGGTCCTGAATTCAATCCCTGGTACCAAA